AGCTCGGCCTTTAACACTATCATCCCAAACCTCCTCCTGCCCAAACTAACTCAGCTCTCTGTGCCCACTTCCGTCTATCAGTGGATCAACAGCTTCCTGACAGACAGACAGCAGCTAGTGAGGCTGGGAAAATACACATCCAGCACCCGTATAATCAGCACTGGAGCTCCTCAGGGTTGTGTGCTCTCTCCACTGCTCTTCTCCTGTTACACAAATGACTGCACATCTAAAGACCCCTCTGTCAAGCTCCTGAAGTTTGCAGACGACACCACACTCATCGGCCTCATTCAGGATGGTGACGAGTCTGCTTACAGACAGGAGGTCAAGCAGCTGGCTGTCTGGTACAGTCTCAACCTGGAGCTCAACACGCTCAAAACTGTGGAGATGACCGTGGACTTCAGGAGAAACCTCCCTGCACTCCCCCTACTCACCATCATGGACAGCACTGTGACTGCAGTGGAGTCATTCAGGTTCATGGGCACCACAATCTCTCAGGATCTGAAGTGGGACACTCACATTGACTCCATTGTGAAAAAGGCCCAGCAGAGGTTGTACTACCTTAGCCAGCTGATGAAGTTCAACCTGCCACAGGAGCTTCTGAAACAGTTCTACTCCGTCATTATTGAATCTGTCCTCTGCACTTCAATAACTGTCTGGTTCAGCTCAGCTACCAAATCTGACCTCAGAAGACTACAGAGCGAATCATTGATACAACCCTCCCTTCTCTCCAAGAACTGTACTCATCCAGAGTGAGCAAAAGGGCTGGCAAAATCACTCTGGACCCCTCACATCCAGCACACTCCCTCTTTGAACTGTTGCTTATTTATCTAACACTCATACTCAGCCTACACCTCAAATTTGCACATAATATACAGTACCTGTACATACAAAAACTGTCTAGTGTAATATACCTGCACATACAATTGTCAATTTATATATTTTTATTCCTTATTTACTTGTTCTATTTTTATTATCTGTGTTTTTTTTTCTGTCACTGTTATTCTGTTACACTGTGGAAACTTGTGTCACGAAAACAAATTCCTTGTATGTGTAAACATACCTGGCAATAAAGCTCATTCTGATTCTATTAGAGTAGCACTTTGTTTTACATGCTGTAGTTTCAGAGGGTTGATTATGCAAAACCTAAACATATAACATTTTTTGATTGTAGTCAGGTCAGCTCATGATAACTATCTCATCATATAAAAACAGCTAATAGCTGCTCACTGCATAGCACTGATCTCTCTGCATCACAACACCTCATGCATTGCTATAAAGAAAGATCTAACACAAGAGTCAAGGGTCAAGAGCACTACTAAAGCAAACACTGATCTCCATGATGGTGACATCGTTTTAACCAATAAAACATCAACATCTGATCCTCTGTAATTCTCAATAACAGCAGGTGTTCATCACTAATGTACAATCATAATTTAATTAGTCACTTAATTATCTCACTAACTTTAACTCTTTGAGGACTTGGGATATGACTTGAAGACTTGCTTGTGACTTGAAAGTCCCAACTCTGCAAATAACCACTTCATTCAACAGTTCTTCTCTTCCGTGTCAGTCTCTGCCGCCATTCATGAGAATACCATGACGCACGCATGTGGTGCTGCTTATGCAGAAGCCAGCATTCTGATATAGAACCCGGACGTGCTACGGCTTGTTTACAAGCAGAGGAATGCACACGCATGCGTCGTGGTACTGTCGTTAATGCGTGTCGAAGTCTGAAGCGGAAGAGAACAGAATGGATGAATAAAGTCATTATTTTTGTTTTCTTTGTGCACAAGTATTCTCGTAGCTTCATTAAATAAGGTTGAACCACTGATGTCACAGATTATTTTAACAATGTCCTTACAACATTTCTGGGCCTTGAACGTGGTAGCTCCATTGCTGTCTACAAGTCATGGCCAAAAGTTTTGGCAGTGACAAATTTTGTGTTTTGCAAAGTCAGGATCAAAAATTTTTCCTCACTGTGACATTTTTCATTGCACTTTTATTTTCTCCCTACTGACACTTTGTTCATTGCTCTTAGTTCTTCACTTGTGATTCTAAATGTTATACTTCAATTTTCATGCAGAGTAGGATGGGTTTAATGTCTCTATTGATCCCCTTTTTCTGTATTGACAGTTCTTCTTATCCAATGGACTACTTGCACTGAGCCTTGTGACTACAGCTAATTTATTTCCGGTTATGTATATTTTCAATGTGCCGTAGTCATCTAGTTGATTTAAATGGCTATAAAAATGAGAGTCCGCGGGATGATTTCAAAATAAAGACATTTTCAGAGACAGGAGAAGAATTATTCTGATGATTACTGTGTGCAGAATTTTCCAAACTCAATGGAATGTGAAGTTTTAATCCAGCATAAACCGATCTCATAAAGCAGTGACTGGTAAATCATACATGATTGTTTCACCACAGGGTGTCAGTGCACCAACTAGTAATCGCGACGCTGCAGTGTATGTGAGATCTGATAAAATCAGAATGAACCTTTATTTATCTGTATTAAATACATTTAAAAATATATATGTAAATGTCACTATTCTGTGTAATTTTTCATTCACAATCATTTCACTGTATGCAATGGCAAAATGTGAATATTCAAAGTAGTCACACTGTCAACACATTACTGTTAAAAATTATTTAAATGTTTAACATCGTTAAATTTCTTTAAGGCAGTTACCGCACATTCATTCAACCATTTTAACATTGCTCTTACGAAAATTAGCCATGCTATACTACAAATAAAACCAAAAAATTGCAATTGTAGTTAAACCATAATAAACCACAAATAAACCTGGGTTTTGCTACACTAACCATAGTTAAATCATGGTGTTTAAAATGTTATACAAATGGTAAAACCATGGTTATTTTTCGTAAGGGTGTTTATCAGTCAAATTCATTTAAAACTATAAATTCAACAGGTATGAAATATGATCAGTAAGAGAAAAATGCGAAGACAAGCGCTGACCTCGGCAGGTTAGTGGGTAAATATATTTACTTATTATTCAGAATGCATATTTGGAAGAGAAATATATTCATAAGAATATTTCAGCAGGTTGAAAATAATTCATGTTAACACAGAGAATATAACTAATGGTTTAAAAAAAATTGCCAGGCCTAAAATGCAGTAATAATCTGCTTTTTCATGAGAAACGGTCTGTATGTAGGTGCGCTAAACTCTAACTGGGAACTCACGAGCTGTACTCAGTAGAATGCGGACGTAGTTGTGCAAGTAGTCCATTAATCGGTGTGGGGAGTGATGTCACTACTACACGGCTGTAACGTTTATTATTATTTATTAGCTCTAAAAAGGGGAATATTTATGACGAATCATAAATGGTTATGATTCATAATAAATATTTAGATTATATCTTCGAATTAACTGTAGCAGAATCAATATTACAATTATTTGATCTGTCCGTCCACCGAGCAGACAATATAATCATTTATCAATTCAAGGAATATTTATTTTCTGGCCACGGAACAATAAACTGTCCTTCTTTGTACAGTGCTAGCAGTAATTCTTAGCCAAATGTAGCAAAGGTTCAAACATTCATTGACTTGGAACTGTGAACAGTAAACAGAAACAATCCGTTGTGAATATAAGGGATTTAATAAAATGAAACTATATCTAACATATAACTAACTAAAACGCTTTAGCTTCCCTGACATTTAAAAGATTTGTTTATGTCTCTGTTATCCCTGTGAGTTATGCGTTATGGCCTAAAGAGCTTTTTTCCAGTTGTTGCACACTTAACTGCACTCAAATCACAATGGTGATAGGTGACAGGTCAAAAAATTGTGCAATTAACATGCTTGTGGAGTACAAAATCTAAAATTCTACCAACTTTAAAAAAAAAAAAAATTATATATATATATATATGTAAACAATTGCCTAGCAATTTTTAAACTCCACCAACTTCTTATTTACAGTGTACTTCTCCCAGTGGTCATGTGTTCAAGTCAAGTCACATTTATTTATACAGTACCTGATACAATACAGATTCATAGTACATCAAGCTCTTTAAGAAAAAAAGTTCTCAAGATACGGTATGACTGCTTTAATTTTTTTTGTTTAAAAATTGAATTTAAGATTGCAAATTGCAAATAAAAAAAAATAAAAATAAAAAAAAGTGTATAAAGTTCAGTGTTATGAACATACCTTGCATGCTCAGGTACGGGATGATACGGTGGGTAATTGGGCTGTGGATAATTTGCAGGTTGCTTGTGCCAGTGATATAAAACCTCTGGTGGGTACTCATCTATAAAGATACATTAACATATGATGGTAAACACAGAATTAAATGCATAGTTTAGTTATGACTGCATTAGCTGCAGAGGCAACTAATTCAGGCCCACACAGAATCTGTGTGCACAGAGCTGTTTGACCAATGTCTGTGAATAATGATTTGCTGGATAAAATGTCAAATTTCTGAACAGCCAATAATCTCTCATCCACTACCAAACACTGATTAAACATGTTTAATCGCCCAACCGACGAGATTCGACTAGTGCAGACGTTGTAAAACACACTGCAAAAACTGGGCTGACAGATGCTTACTGATGTCTTGGTGTGTCAAATCCATAAGTCAAAACACAGAGACTCCAAAACAGACATTATTGTAGAAGAATATAGCGCAGAATTTAAAGTTTGTGTGGTTTTCACTCAGTGTGTCTCATCAACGCAAGCTCCACAACATCAAATCAGATTAAACCTGGTTTATTTTCTGTGCATACAGTACATGCAACTTCATCCATGTCAAAGTTTATGTTTCAAACGTCTTAAAGTAATGTTTCTGATTTCTATCAAAGTTTTAGTACATCACTAACGACTTATCTAAAGAAACTTCTGTCTTGAGTTGTTGCGTGGATGAGCACTGATAGAAATGCAGGTATGCCAACCACTGATGAAAGTCAACATTGTGCGATCACAGATGCAGAATATCCCACTACATTTATGTGTTGCATAGCTTATACAGGCTAATAATAATAATAATAATAATGCAATCAGTTTGAATCAGAAAACCTCCCCATCGAAATTCACTTCCTGGACTCAGTCCCCCCATGTCCCAGCCCCATTAAGAGTGTAGTACTTTAAGCTCAGTTTAACACATTTTATCATACTGAAATCTATTCTAATCTACTGATTCTATTGAATGGGGGATATTGTAATTCAAGTGGGGCTGTTAATGTAACAACACACACACTTCCGTAGCCCGTCTGCAAGTTGTCTAAGTGTGTAAAGTGGGCATTAATGTGTTGTTGTGGGGGTGTCTACCACAGTGTGACATAAAGTAAAAAAAAAAAAACATTTTGCGTTTAATCTTGATTTTAGTAAACCTGGTGTCTCTGACAGTAGATTGCCATTTTGGCTTGCCAAATCAAAAAGTTAATTAAACCTGAATCCTACACCAATTATATTTGGGTAAATAAATCCCAAAAATGGTAGAAAACATGGTAGAGTCATTTTATCATCATGGTTTCTTTTGCCATTTATAGAGCGAGAAATTTTGAGGTCTGAAACTTAAAGGCATTTTATAGCACAATGACCGCTTCTATGTCAAAAGATCAAAGACACTTTTGATTCCTCATATCATGACCCCTTTAATCATACCAATAACAGGCATACCGTAAAATCCTGGCTGTTTTGCTGGAGAATATCTGCATGAAATCTCTCCCAGGTCAGAGCGAAGAGGACTAGGCTTTTCTAGACTCTCCTCATCCTCACTCACATGGTTCTGGGTGTGTGAATATATGACAGGGGAACTGCAGTGATTTTGAAGACTGATGCCTGAGAAATCTTCACTCAGATCTTCTATGTGGGCTCTACAGTCTCTCTGAAGGTGTCTTCCTGAACTTTGAGGCAAGTAGAGACTGGGCAAGCCTACAGGGCTCTCCGTGTGTTGTGAATCACTTATGGAAAGTTTGGTGAGGGGACTGACCCTTAAATCTTTAGGAGGAAGCCCATAGCAACCATCTAGATAATCCAATCTACTTACATCACGAACACACATCTCTGGGCTGAATCTATTACTTTTTCCTGAGTCTTTAAGGGTGTGTGATTGGCACTGCTGGCATGCAGGCCAGACCAGATTGAGAGAGGACAAGGTCATAGACTCATCAGTCTCTACAGGCATACTAAGATGTGGACAGCAGTCTGAGAAAACAAAACAAGTGGACAAATGGAGAGAGAGAGGTTTGTGATTGGTGCATTATGGACATAATCAATAATGTCTATACCTTTAGACTGATTCAGATAAATACCTTTTAGAGGCATTAACTTAATAGAAGTAGTACTGCTATTTAGTGGTTCTCAACTGGTAGCATCCTTGCCTAAAAATAGGTCATAAGTAGGGATGTAACGATGTACCCTGCACCGATTGAAAATCTATAAAAATATGTGACGATTCAGGTCGGTTGAGACGAATCACAATAGAGTTGGGGGTGGGGTTTATATTAATGTATCTCTGAAGTGAACTGACTGTATTCAGAAAAGTTTAGATGATTTTTTTATTTTCATCTTGAATATTAATGTAGTATTTATAAGCACAGAGCTGCTTTGTTTACAGTGGTAACCAGCGTATATTGCCGCTGTTCCATAAGCGCCACATGTTGTCAGAGCCTGAATTTGCATTCTCATTCAGTCCATCTGCTGTTTCGGTTTAATTTTATGTACTATAGTTACTGTATATGTTTTATGTAGTATAGTTTCACAAAGCTTTAGTCAGACGATCCTGTTTTTACTTCAAATTTCGAAATTATACATTTTAAACAAAAACTACTCATGCTTCACGTATGCAACATCTTTGTTTGTATCATGGTTAAAATCAGAGATGGGGGACTAAAGTCATATGACTTGACTCGAATCAGACTTGAGTCGCAAATTTTAGGACTTGAGACTTGACAAATATTAATAAAATACTTGACTTTGACTTGATATTCATGACTTGAGACTTGACTCGGACTTGAGTTAAATGACTCAAAATAACTTGCCTTTCATTCAATAAATATCTGTTTGTTTTTGAACGCACTGCAACCTAACCAAGTGCAGACAAGCAGAGAGAGCTAACGTAAGAGCGTGGACACAGTGTTGGCAACTTAGCAACTTTGTCACTAGATTTAGCGACTTTTTTCCCCAAAAAAGTGCCTAGAGACAAATCTAACGACTTCTTGGACAAACCTTATTTAGTTCCCTTTCGAGAGAATTTTGAACTGCGTCCTCTAGAGGTCGCTATGGGGAACATCTTCGGCGTGACCGATGTCAGCGATGTCAAGCATACATCTAAACACGACAATAACATTGGCCGGTGACAGCCTATGTCACTATCAATTACCGGTGCAACCACAGTATAAAAGGGCACCGGAAGAACGTGTCACCCTCTTCTTCGTCTTCACTGACCGTTTGTTTATTTTAGCGACAAGCTAAGCACGACTAGGAGTGCATGTTCTCTCGCTAGAGGCTTTGCTCTGATACCCGCAGTTTCACATGGGTCGTGTGTTGTGTGTGTGTGGTGAAGAGCAAGCGCGTTCGGCTCTCGAGGGAGTTGAATGCACTCTGCATTCATTGCATAATTCTTGTGAGGGATATGCATGAATTGAACGCACTCTCATGATAAGACGGCTTGTGCTCATTGAGATGCATTCACGGGACTACTGAAGGGGAAGTGAGTGCTTCACCATTTACCAGAGTTTGTGGATAGCGTTTGCATGAGTGTGTTCGCCTCTTGCGGGAAAAGCGACGCATTCGTGGCAGTGGTTTTCATTCTCGCTTGATTTCCGGGGTAATCTAGTGTGTGGGCGGAGTGTGTTTAGCTCCCGTGGAAGCTGAATGCATGCTGCGCGTTGCGGTTGTGGTGAGAATTGTCTGCCCATTGCCCGCGATTCGCGGTTGATAGGCAGCACTTGGAAAGGACCTGACGTGAACATTTTTCCCTATCAGTAATTTCTTTCTGTTTATATAGGAATTGTATAGTGTGAATATCTTTCTGCAGTAGTTGGACAGATGATTTATATCATGTCCTTATCAGATAACCACATTATACTGCACTCCAGGAGCCCATTTTTGGAACCTTTACTTTCATTCAGGGTTGTATGACTCTCTGTGCTCAAGTGTTGGCTTCCTTGATGTTTGGCCCTGAACTGAGCTGGCACTCCTGTACTCACAGTTGGGTGTGGTAGAATATCATGTTCTCTGGGGCTAGAGGCAAGACGGGGGGAGGTGATCCGGACGAGGCGTTCCCAACAACTTTGTCCAAACCAGAGTAAACCTAAACATCTACTCACCTCCATCTGAGATATTAACATCTGCTCTCATCTTCCTCCCCTTAATTCCCCTAAAGCCACCCACCTGACCGAGGTTAGGTAGGAGCCTCCTGTGCTTGCATTGCAGTCTCTCATGCTGGACCTATGATATTTTGGCTAGTTTCTATGTCTTCTAGAACTACCTACTGAGGGTCTGGACCCAAGTGCTCTTTGGACTTCGCCTTCAGATTATATCCGTGAGCCTGAGTAATGCGTGGGAGCTGGTTGGTGAGTACGATTCATTTAATCTACTCTACTGCTAGTTTTATGTGATTTCATAAACTAGCTTTTCTCCGCAGCGCTACTTGGACCCGTCTTTGTTTTTATGACTTTGTTTTAGGGTTAGGACCTCTATGAGCACCTCCCCTGCTAAAGTCGGAGCCTCTCGCTGTTTACTGATTGTGGTGATGGTAGCTCACCCGTTGGTACTGGATTCAGGCTGGATGATAGCCCTACATCTTCGGCTTCATGCTTGCTGGACCATGCAGCCAAGTCGCTGGGCTTCTGCGAGAGCCTACTTAGCCATCAGGTCCCCAGTATAACACTGCAACCTCAGGACCCGCGGGCCCTCCATTCAGGTTGAGAATTTTTTCAGAGTATAATGCATCGTGACATGCTCCCTGATGTCCTGGCTGGGTGTTTGCTTTCGAGAAGCTGCCCCGGATGAGTAGCCAGGATGCGCTACTCATGTCTCGCCCCGAGGGGTCTCCTGAGATTTGAGTCATCCTCAGCCATCATGCATGTTCTCTGAGCTAGAGCTCCTCTCACTGAGGCGTTAAGTAGCTTAGCACTCCTTAAACTCCACTCTGCAGTTCGATATACAGTCAGGCCCATGGAACTTCCCTGTCACACTGCCCTTATTGTCGAACCAGTCAATCACTCCTCCGCGGAGTGGGCTTGAGTATATTGCATTCCCTGAGGTACGAGTGACATGTGTTTCTGCGGAAACACTTCCGGAGTGCTTCGGCTCTGAGGAGCAGTAGCTCTTTATGCACGAATGGGTTATTAGGTCCCGTTGTTTCTACAGGTTCTCTTAAGGTCTGGTTAAATGGGGCCCATGCTCTCTATCGAGATAGAGAGCATAAGACTGCGTTCAGCTGCATCAGTTGATGGTCTCTTATTGGGCCCTGCTAGACTGCCCCTTCTAATCTAGCGCTGCCTTCTGGTCGAGCTGAGAAGTGCTCCACTCACTGCAAGGGTTAGCTATGAGCCTATCACTCAAAGTTTGTGCTTTGAGGACCCGCCTCAGCTTGAGAGCCGAGAGTGCTGCTCCCGAAAACTTTATATCTAACAATACCGAGTTGTGAGGCCCGTCCCTGTCGCCTCCTTGGTCAGTTGGCTCTATGTTGGGATCCTGTTTTTCCCTGTTGAAATGTGTGATCCCCTTTTAAACTGGATCCCATTTCTGATGTCCCATTTGTGGTCAATCTGCTCCCCGGACATGGCCATTGAGCAGCCGTCTCAGGTTGTTAGGCTCCCTTTTCTGCCTCCCTGTTTAGGCTGCTCTCTTTGTTGGTTGAGCTTAGTAGTGCTCCCCTCACCTTAGAGGGTTACCTTTGAGCACACCACACCCAGTTCCTTTCCTATTTTGAGAGTTGGGCCTCCACTCTATAGAGCTCCGATGGGCAGTCATGCCAGGTTGTTGGGCCACCTTCTGGCCACCTGATATGCTGCTCTTAATATTAAGCTTGAAGTGCTGCCCTCACTCTAGAGGGTTATCTATGAGCAAATCGAGCATTTGTGTCCCCCTCTTGAGAGCTGGGTGCTACGCTCCTTCAAGTTATGTATGAGCATAATGCTCCGGAGCCTGTCCTATGACTATTATGGTTGAGTTGGCAATGCTCCCCTCATATGGAGGGTTTTTCTATGAGGTACGCCATTTTCAATTCACATGCGCTCTGAGTAAGCGGACTTCCACTGAATTAAGTAACTGCTCCCTGAGCGTGCTACAGTCACATAGGGTTTCTAGGCCTGTCTAAGAAACAGCCTCTGTGACCCCTTAGTAACAGTGTTTCTAGAATCCATGTTATGGTAAGTGCACACGCTGAGCTTCTGTGCACTTTCTAAAACCCACATTGTGATAAGTGTGCACACTAAGCATTCTGCACACTTTTCTAAAATCATGTATGGTATGGGTTACATGCTGCCAGCCTTGTTCTCTTTCGCCGAGTTGGCTCAGGCCCCGGTTTTCACCTTGGGCCCCACTGTACTTTTGTATCCTTGGAGATACCTTCCTGAGCAGGGTGTTTGCTACCAAGGACCTGTCGAGTCAGTTCCTTTGGGCAAGCTAATGCAGAGCTGGCGGTAGCCCCCTGGGTAACAGGCCAGGGTCTAGTTATTGTCCTAGATGCTTGGCCGTATCCCCTTAAAGGAATCTCTTTTGTTTCTGATTTCAAGCCTTTGAGCTCTGTCCTGGGTTCAGGTTTTCTAGCCCAGCTCTTAAAAGGTACGTTTTTTTGGGTATGCAGCTCAGGCCTTTGGCCGAAGGGGATAATGTCACTGACAGCCATCAGGCATCTGTGGGGCAACTCCCATAGCTTTGATCGAGTTGGTACTTAGTGCTCGCCTCGGTGCTTGGCATGCACTCCCCTCAGCATGGCCACGTGGGTATACCGTTCCCCATAGCGACCTCTGGAGGACGCAGTTCGAAGTTCCCTCGAAAGGGAACGTCTCAGGTTATGTATGTAACTAT